GGAAAAGTGCATTGCTTGGGGTCCCAACCCCCAGCTCCACAAGCAGAAAGCCAGGCACCGTGCTGCTGTGGGGGTCCACAAGCTCCAGAGTGCAAGGCGAGCATTCACGCCTGTTCCCACCCTTGTGCGCAAGAGCGTAGTGGGCAGGTCTGTCTCTGCTCCCTGGGTCTCTGACTCCCTGGCAGGGAGGAACTGGGCATTGTTGCCAAAAATAAACGTTCCCTCTCCCGCTCCCTGGCTCCTGGCTCCCGCTCATTAGGATGCGTGGCGTTTGGCTGCGGTCCCACACCTTGCAGCTCATTATAAATATGCAGTCGCTGCTGGCGCTACCCCAATCATCTCTGCAATCAGAGCTTTTAATTAGGTTAATTAAATTGTATCAAATCTCGCAGGGACGCAGTTCACTGATGCTGATGAGGCAGCCAAAACAGACCCCAGCTCCTCGGCTAATGAAGGCCGCTGCCTGCCTGCGCAGTGAGGGAGCAGGAACGCATAATAAATGGCCCCGTCCTCTGGGAGGAGCTGCTGCCCAAGCCCCGAGCTCTGGGGACCCCGCCAAGGGTCTGCAACCAGCTGCAGCAGAGGCCCCAGGGACCATCGTCATCACCAGAGAAATAGCCAAGGTAGCTTCAGGACCGGGACAGGTGGGCAGGTGGGCAGCCTGAGCACCTGCTACCACTACACGGCAAACTCAAGTGTCCCTCTAAGACTGGGGATTTCCGTGTCTCCCTCCTCCAGAATAGGCCAACATGGTCAGAAACACACACACACACACACACACACACACACACACACTGCCCCCCCCCCGACTAGCTATCAAGACCAGACCAAGATAGAAAGCCCCCCACACAAACACACCCATTGCCCCCTCTGACTATCCTACTAGCTACCAAGGCCAGGCCAGGTTAGAAAGCCCATCTAGTGTTTAGAAGGCTACCACCCAGTCACGGGACGGGAGCCACCCCCAGGTTTCTGTGCCAGGTAGACCTTGTACTTTCCTATCTTGTGTTTCACCTACAGACCCCTCTCTGGGATAGGACCCCTTGAGATTGTCAGCTTCCTTCACACCGCTCCCCTCCTCCTGGCTGTCCCACGCCCCAAGGTGCTGGAGACCTCAGGGCCCTGCACCGTCCTCTGCTGCCTTGTATTGTGATGGCACACGCATGGGAGGAGCTGCCACCTCCAAAGGGGCTGTCCCTGATTCTCTCCTCAGCCGAGCCCCGCCCCGTCCCTGGTCACAGATCTGAGCAGATGAAGGGAGAAGGGGAAATTTGCAGTACTCTGGGGACAGGTGGTTTCTGCTACAGAAGCTGGTTTTTTGATTGGGAAAGCTTTTTTTTTTCCAACCACCAATGTGAAAACCCGAAATCCGAAACCACCACCGCCACCCCATCACCCCAAACCCCACCCGATGCCCCACACTTCTGTCACCTGAGAGAAGCTGCTGCGTAACTGAGAGAAAGCTGCAAATGAGTCAGGCTGATGCAGGTGGGGGGGCGGGGGAGGGGACAGGCTGCCCAGGTGTCCCTGGGCACCATGGCTTATTAAGCGATGATGCAAGCAAGGCCATCAGGTGGCAGGTGGCATCTACCCTCTTTTTTTTTTAAGATACTATTTTATTTATTTATTTTTAAAGATTTGTTTTATTTTTACTGGAAAGTCAGAATTACAAAGAGGAGAAACAGAGAGGAAGATCTTCTGTCCGATGATTCACTCCCCCAAGTGGCCACAACTGCTGGTGCTGCGTTGATCCGAAGCCAGGAGCCAGAAACCTCTTCCAGGTCTCCCACATGGGTGTAGGATCCAAGGCTTTGGGCCGTCCTCAACTACTTCCCCAGGCCACAAGCAGGGAGCAGGATGGGAAGCAGGGCCACCAGGATTAGAACCAGCACCCATATGGGATCCTACTGTATTCAAGACTTTAGTCAGTAGGCTACCACACCAGGCCCACCTACCCGCCCCCTTCAAACACAGCAGTCCTGGCATAAACACCACCTGTGTAAGCCCTTGGCTCTGGCCCAGGCTCTCGCATCACCCTGCAGGAGCAAGGGCTCCAGACCACAGAGTGGACGCCAACGCCCTCCTTCTCACACAAGAGGCTGTGACCATCAAGTACTGTGGCCTGATGGGCATAGAGAGTTCAGTTAGGAGAAACACAAGTGGACCAGAACTTCCCCCAATGTACAGGGCTGGATCCTGGAGGAAGGGACGGGGGATTCCCACGGAGTGCGAGGCAGCACGGTGGAGCTTTTTGCTGTTGATCCTTGGCCTCGCCTAGAGAACAAGCAGAAGCATGCACTGGGCAGTCTCGAGAGTCTGAGGAGCGGACTTCAGGAAGGTCGGCCTGTTGCGCGGCTTCTCCCTCATCTCTCCCTGCACTTCTGCCGACACAACCAGGGAGCCCGCGGGAGCCCTGCCAGTCGGCAGGCCCCGTGACCGGGCTGGCTAGCAAGCGCGCACCCTCTGACCCTCGGAGGCAGCTGCACAAACCCAGGGAGCCTGCCAACTCGGCTCCAAGATGCATCTCAGGTGCGCCCCAGGTCCTCCGCTCTCCTGGGGCTTCGAGCCAGGACTCCCTTACCCAAGGCCTGGCCCGCCCTTCCCAACACCCAGGGCATGAGGCTCCAGGACCTGGCAGGCTGTGCGGGCTGGGGGAGGAAGGGGGAGCAACACCACACACTTACTCACCTCACTGTCTCAAGTCGCAACAGGCCCTGGCCTCACCGGCCTCCACAGGTAGGCAGAGTGAGTCGGTGTCGGTTGGCTGCCTTCCCTGCGGCGGGACATGTGGCTCTAATTGTTGGGCTGCCCTAGCAGCATGGGAGACTGTGAGCTACACACACACTCAGAACTGCAGAAGATGCCCATCATGTCTTGGGGGGGTTGGGGGAGAGTGCTGGGGAACGGAGGGGAGGGGAGGGGAGGAGAACAGAGGGGAGGAGAGGGCCCACCCTCTGGGAAACCTAGGGCTCCACATCAGAGCCCCAGGAAAGACCCCCCGCCAGTGCTCCCCATTGGGAAGGGAAAGCCCTCTCCTGCCCAGCCCTGATCTCAGGGCCAAGCTCATCTCAAGCTCAGGGGGGAGAAAAATCACCTCCACAAAGCTCTTTCCCACCAGGACCCGAGGTTCAACAAACAAATCCACACGGAGCCCCCACAGAAGCAGCCAAGTGTGCTTAAGTGGGTGGACACAGGCTTGCCCAGAACAGCCCGCAGGGAAGGGACAGCAGCTCCATCTGCTGGGCCCTTTTCCATTCTGTCACTAGGAATTGGTTCTTTCCGAAGATGCAAAGTTGGAAAAAGCGGCAGTTCCCTTGAAGAAGGCAGCTGGAGGTTGACAGCCTCCTGCATCACAGGCCTCCATCAGGCCGACTGGAGCTGAACCAGAGCCCTGACTCCCAGCAACGCTCTCCACCTCCCCAGGCTGCCCACAGCCAGGCTGGCACGCCAGCAGCTCCAATCACACCCTGGGCCCAGAGAGGTAGATCCAAAGGAAATGACACCGGTTACTCTTCCCAGAGCCAAGGGTCCCACTGATCTCCAAAGCGCTGGTCCATTCTCAGAGCCCAGCAGGCAGGAGCCCATCCAGGGCTAATCACAAGGAAGCCAATTTCTGGCCCTCAGTGTCCCTGCGCCAGACATGCCTCAGGGGAACAGTGATTCAGGACACCCTGATGCTCTTACAGTCCTCTAGTAATCTCTGGCCTGGAAGTGATGGTTCTCCAAGAAACCAGACTTCCTGCTGCTGTTGGGCCCAGGTTCTGGCCTCTCTAAGAGTCACTACTTCCGTCTCTGTACCGGAGGGTGTGTAGGTGCTCCCATACCCACTTCACAGGCTCTGTGTGCCTGTTGCTGGGAGGCCTATGGAGTGTGTGTGCCTACCTGGGGGGGTGGGTGCTTCATGCGAAGGCATTCGGCATAAAGAACTCCTAACTCTTCCCACCTCTCTAACCAGCAGGAGCAAGAGACAGAATGAGAACAGCCCAGAACAGAGCCTGCTGGCTCAGCTCGCTCCTCCCCAACACCGGCCCTTTGGGACTCAAGTCTCCTAATACTCCAAGCCTGAGCCAAGCTCCGGAGCTCCCAGAAGGCCGTCCAGACAGCCTGAACAGCCTTCCTGAAGACAGAGGTTACTGCTTCCTGCTTGCAGGTTGCCCGGATGTGAACCCCACCAAGTACACCCTGAGGACACAGGCATTCACTCTTGGCTTTGTGTGGAACTTTAAAGTATTAACAAAAAAAAAAAAAAATCATGATCTGTCAGCTCCAAGCAAAGCTGTTCCCTCTCTAGGCAGTGAGGTGTGAGCCAGCTCCCAGAACCCTGCTCCCCACCATGCACTCAAGCATGCTCATTCCTGTCCAGGCTCGGCCTACGACTGCCATTCCGGCAGGACAGGAAGACTCTGGGCAAGGAGGGCCACTGCCCCGCATGGCCTGGGGTCTGTACGCCCAGGGCAAAGGACTGGGCCATTTAGTCACAACTTTGGGGCAGGATCCTGAGTGGGGCAGGAACAGAGGGGGGTCTCTTAGGAACACCTGTGACTTTCCAACTCCTAGAGAGCTCTAAATTCTGAGGAGAAAAGCCCTCCTGGGCAACCTACAAAACCACCTGAACATCCCGTGAAAGAATGAGGATGTCAACTCACTAGATAAAATATTACATAATCATTAAAAAAAGTTACTTTAATTTTAACCATGAGCATATATTATTTAAAAAAAAAAACTTAAGTAATGTAACAAAAATGCGAAAGAACTATTTTAAAAATGACCATATAAAAAATGTTTACCATAACTTACAACTGACAAACAAAACCTGGGGTATGGCTTACCAAAGGGAAGAAAGGAATTAAAAGGCTCACAGGAGTTGGACCAGAATGAGACTGAGTTACCGTTCTTGAGTAAGTACCGGTTACGGATGAACTCACCTTCTTTCCTGACTTGCAGTACAGAGATGATCTAACTTCCACAGGAACACAGACATACACACACGAGAGCGGGACTGGTCTCGCAACCCAGAAACAACAGGGGTTTTAATGTTGATCACAGAAAGCTATCAGATGTCAACCTGACAGTAAATCACGCTTACAAATAGGAAAACCATGTCCCGCAGACTGATGCAGCCAGAAGCCACCACGAAACATGCATCCTATGCAGCGACTTCCGGTGGAGAATGATGAGGCTTCCCTCTAACACATCAACGTTTTCGACGACTCTCAAATTTGTAAATGGCTGGGGAGTTGACGGTTTCTTTCCTCACCTTCACCCTCTGGGTTTTGTCCTGCAGGAGTGACCAGGCCATCAGTCAGTGGGAGGGTCTCCTGCGCAGGATGGCTAACACGCTCGCTGTGAGAAGGGCCCGGCCAGCCCTCCTCCCAGCACACGCCACGCAGGCTCCCACCCCGTCTGCCATGGAGGAATGTCTCCCTCGGCCCCCAGGACAAGACACGCTACAGACATCCTTGAGCAAACGGAGGGACTCGAGCAGCGTTTCATTTAAAACCATACATTTTAATTCTCTCGTGGAACCCCAGTTGAGAAAGGCTGACCTAGACGATCTGCAAGGCTAAAGAATCTGACATTTAGAGGAAAGGTAAGAATATGAAAGAGGCATCGTATGGTCCTCGGCTCTGCTATTTAACTACACAATGTTGTCTATTTTTAAACATCAATGAGTAACACGCACTGTTTTGTTAACCTGTTTAAATGTTACAGGAGCTGCTCATAAGCTATAAAGTTCACATGCCACCCGATCCTACCCTCTGCTGTTCCAAGGCACTGACTAATAACCCCCTTATTACCTTCTTAATCAAGGAACATGTCAACACTGTCGGAGCAACAGACACTGGCTGAGACCACTGCCCCCGAGGAGCAGACATTTTCACTGGGGTGGATTTACACTCAGCTAAAACCCAGTCTCAGCTAAGACCTTTACAAGGGGGAGAAAAGAAAGAAGATAAAAAGGCCCAAAACGCCCTGTGCTCTCACCATAAGATCTTTGCGTGTTTGAATTTTCTGAGCGGTGACAAACAATTCCTTCTCCCGTTCAATCCGCTGCTTCAGGCAGTTATATTGCTTCTGCCTCTCCTTAGCTATTCGCTGTGTTAAGACATTATCAGTACAACAATTAACAGGATGAAATGTATTAAAGACCATGTCTTAATCCACTTAAGCCCATGCATATGAATGACACATCAATTCTTTCCTCACGCAAAACCAGGAACACAATTACTTATATGTCCACTTTAGGAACATGACACTCCAGAGCTCAAAGGAACCTGGGGTGCTATCTCACTGACACCTGTCGTTTTACAAAGGCTCAAAAGTAAGGCCCAGGGGAGGAAAAACAACGGTGACCAAGCGGATGCAGCTGCCCCTGGATCAGCGTCATGACCGCTACACGTCACACAGCCCAGGGACACCTGGGCAGCTTCTACACTGTGCTACTGGCAGTTTCGTGTGTGTGTGTGCCCCAGCCACCTAAGATGATGGCAGGAATGAGAGTACAGCCAAGTCACACAGTGTGCCTCCACCTAGCAATCTTTGAACTTGGAAAAGCAAAATTTCTCAGCAAGAATGACCTGAGACTGTCTCACTGCTTCTTACTCCTCCAAGAACAGCAGGCTCCGAAGGGCAGAGCCACTGACAGCAGCTTAGGGTTTTCTCTTGAGATGAAAGTGCAGGCCAGTTCGCACAGAACAGTGCAAACACATACAGCCACCTGGAAGGAGGCCTGTTCACACACGGTATACCCCCAGGAGTCACACACTCAACTCCCTGGCAATCTACCCACCAGCAGTGCTTTTTAACTTTATCTTACTTGAAACCAGAATTACTTAGAGAAGGAGAGACAGACACAGAGCGAGTCCATCTACTGCTTCACTCCCCAAATGGCTGCGAACAGCCAGACCTGGGAGCTAAATGCACTTTCTGGGTCTCCCACACAGAGTGCAGGAGTCTGGGGCCATCCTCTGCTACTTTCCAAGACCATAAGCAGGGAGCTGGATCAGGAGTGGAGCATCCGGGGCACAGGCGGAGAATCAGCCTGCTATGCTACTGTGCCAGCCACGGCAGCTCCTTAATAAAAACTACTTTGCTTTAAATGAAACAATCAAAAGAAACCACAGAACCAGGTAAAACGGTAAGACGCTGTGGCAGTAACTACTCTAGATAAGGAGTCCAGAACACTAGACTCTCAAGGGCCTCCAACAATACTCAAGAAGCGTCACTAACACAGCTAACTGAAAATACAACCAGGGCCTGGCGCAACAGCCTAGTGGTTAAGGTCCTCGCCTTGCACACACCAGGATCCCACATGGGTGCCAGTTCGTATTCTGGCTGCCCTGCTTCCCATTCAGCTCTCTGCTTGTGGCCTGGGAAAACAGTCGAGGATGGCCCAAAGCCTTGGGACCCTGCACCCATATGGGAGACCCAGAAAAAGCTCCTGGCTTCAGATCAACTCAGCTCCAGCTACTGTGGCCACCTGGGGAGTGAACCAGCAGACAGAAGATCTTCTTCTCTGTCTCTCCTTCTCTCTGTAAATCTGAGATTCCAACAAAAATAAATTTTTATTTTTTTAAAGAAAACATGACCAATTGTCAAAGGGTGCCAGCTGGCCAGCCACTCCGCTGTGAGAACTGTCAGCTCTGTCAGGGGACCGTTCCGGGGCCTCAGACGTCAGCAATTCGCCAATCCCTGCGCAGCCTCACAGCAGTGGTTTCAGACAGCTTTTGTTTTCCCTTTATTGCACAGACTGTCAAATTTATGGGATTACCCAATATAGTCAAACTAATTATGGGTATTTATATTACTAAAGCAAGTTTAGCTGCCTCTGAGCTAGAGAAAACTGCTGTGAAATTAAACATTGGAAGCAAAACTGATGCGGTGTAAATGATTCAGATCAAAACAGAACAGCTGTCTGCTCGAAACACACTGACAGCATTTTTTTAAATGAATCAGTCAGAAGTGAGAGTTCAACTTGGAAGGCTTTGAGAAGAAGCCTGCCTTCTCCATGGCCCACATACAGGGACAGGAAGCATCAAAAGTCAACGGGCCACGGTGCATTAATATGAGAGACCTTTCCGTATGCGCACTCATCACTAAAGGGCCAATATCAAAGCACTGTGCGCCAAGTCCCTTCCCCTTCAGTGTCGCCTCCTTTCGCTGCACTTGAGCCTGCTGGTGTCTGTTACAAGGATAAAAATACTAGTGCTTGGAGTGGCAAGATTGACAGCAATTCATAACTGCTGCAATATCAAAACCACTTGAGCAAGAACCTCAGAGCATGCCCTACATCCGGGACCTGGGGAGGGTGGGAAAATGGGTGGGCCTTCTCCCTTCATACCCCCCTTTAAACGTGAAGGTAACAATATGGAAAACATACTAGTCTTATCCACTTTCCTGTAGCCCTTGAACCTTCTTACCCTAATTAACTATGTAAAGAATGTCAAAATAAAAATTAAAAAAAAAAAAAAAAAGGATAAAAATACAAAGAACATGGTCTAAGCTGGGACACAAACCCGGAGCTGCAGCCCAGAGGAGAAGCTCCTCATCACTGCATCTCACGTCCTCTGGTCTCAGACACCGAGAACCCTCCACCACTTCCGCTGCCATCACCAAACCCTCCTTTTACTGTGCTAAGAAAACAGGATGTATTTTCCTCACAATTAAATTACTTATGTAATGTAATTTCAGTGGCAAAAGTGAGCAATCTAGACCCCTCTGGATTCACATCTGAATAACGAGGGAGAAAATTACCTTGAGTCGAGTCTGATGGGTGACTCCTTTCACCCTCTCCTTCTGCAAGGTCTCTATCCTAGGTCTATTGAAGACTCTGTCAACTAGTTCCGGGGCTGTCTGCAGATGAGTCGCAACATCAAACTGTGCAACTAAAATTCAACACAATCCTTAAGGCACTGTCAGTCTGGAACACCACCCAGCCCACACTGGTGGGAGGGACCATCCCAGGAACTTTCAAACATTCCATACCTTCCTTTTTGGTGTCAAAAAAGAATATATGCTTCTTCTGTTGCTTCCCCTGGAAATCCAGCAGATGGAGCTCTGACTTCAGTCTTTCAATTTTCTAGAATACAGAATATGGTGTGACTTTACATTGGACTTGGTGTGACTTTACATTGAACTTTTCTAAGCTATCAGGAATAAACGTGCAAAAACTGAACACCATCTCGCATCAGGACTGTCACTCAGCAAAGAAGTCCTTTCGCTCTTCTAAAGAAAAGGACTGCTGAGGCCAATCCAGCACTGACGACGTGTCAGGCACTGAGCCAAACCTTTCACAAAAAGCACCCTTAATTTTTACAATCTTCAGAGACACAAACAACAAAACAGCCTCAGGAGGTGCACCTGCCATCTCATGCTGCTAGCAAATGGCAAAGGCTGAATTCAAACCTATGTCTGTCTCAGTTCCAAATCTAAACGTTTTCTGCTCCAACATGCTGGCTATAATTCTTCGCTCAAAAAAATAGAATTTTTTTTTTTTTTTTTATTTTAAAGGGAGAATAACAGATACAGAGCAGAAGGCGAGAGCAAGAAAAAGAAAGAAAAGATGAACCACCCTGGGGTTCCCTCACCAGATGGGCCACACAACAGTCCAGGTTGGGCCAAGCTGAAGCTAGGGTCCAAGGACTAACTCATGGACCCCCACACGGGTGGCAGGGGCACACGCACTTGGGCTACCACCTGCACATTTCCCAGGCACAGCAGCAGGAAGCGGGATCAGAAGCAGAGCAGCTGGAATCAAACCAGTACTCTGATACAGCAGGCTTAACCTGAGCACCTTATCAGTCACCACACTGACTGAGATTCCTGATCACCATCACCATCACACACACACTAAGACTGAAGACGTCAGAAGAAATTAACTGAACAATGGACACCGAGTGACATTTCCTTTCTTAACAAACATGAGCAAATCAGAACAAAGAGTTAACTGTCACCTTAGCTTCTGCAACTCTTTTCATTTCAATATATTTGACATCCTGGGTCCTCATGAGCTTCAGCTGCTCAGGAGTGACTTCTTCCTTATTCTCCTTGATAACATGAACTCCATCCTACAACCCAATTACAAAAGATACATTGCCTTTTAGATTAATGTCATCATATAAATTGTTGGCAGAACTCACAGCAAGAACAAACACAACCAAATGTGCTATGCCAACAGCAGACAGGGCACAGACCCCAGAAGTGCATGCTCAACGCAGGACCTCTGGCCACCCACTCCTGGCACAACTCCAGGTGTGACATAACCCAGATTCAGCAGAAATGCATGCCACCTTGGACACTGACCAAGAGCTCCCGGACCAAATGGAGAATGGCCAGGGCCAAGGTTCCCTCCTCCCCCCGGCACCAACCTCCCCACACCCCCGCCTTTATGTTCCAACAGCTGGGGCTGAAAATACCCACCTGGAGTTTAACACGCGTCATCTTATAGTAAAATTCATCTGGATTTTTTTCCAGAGCCTTCTTTCGGAGAGCCCTGAGGTATTCTTGTTTTTTGTGGTAGTCACTGAAAAGCAGGTCAAGAATGGTTTATTGAAGGAAAACAGTAATAAGCAGAAACCTTTAGAGGCAGGTCTAAGTTCACACCACATGAGGCCAAGAAGGCCAGAGCAGCACCTGACTGAGTGTGCGCCACACTCCACTGTCACTGGACTGGACTTTCCTACCTCCCTGAAATCTACTTGTCCCCACCCCACGGATTTCGGTGCCTCAGACTCCACGACAGACACCACACAGAGCAGAGACTGAAATTCCTTGGCCAGGGACGATCAAGCTGACTCCCAAGCTACAGGCACAATGGCCTAATTCATGGACCCCAGTGCCAACCACCTGGAATCAGTCGTGGCCTCCACCCTTCCTGCGCTGAGTGACTTCGAGTAATTTAGTCAGTCACGCCATATGCCAATTTTCTTTTTAAAGATTTACTTATTTTTATTGGAAAGCCAGATGTACAGAGAGAAGGAGAGACAAAGATCTTCCATCTGCTACTTCACTGCCCAAATGGCCACAAAGGCCAGAACTGAGTCTATCCGAAGCCAGGAACCAAAAGCTTTCTCTTGTTCTCCCACATGGGTGCAGGGTACCAAAGCTTTGGACTACACTCAACTGCTTTCCCAGGCCACAAGCAGGGAGCTGGATGGAAAGTGGAGCAGCCAGGACACAAATCAGCACAAATACTAGTGTCAGTGCCTGCAGGCAGAGGATCAGCCAAATGATCCATTGTGCTGGTTCTCTATATGTCAATTTCATCTGTAAAATGAGGGCAAGAACAACTTACACAAGAAGGTTGATGGGAGGAGGGAGTGAGCGTAAGATTTGTTAACCTCCTAGAACACTGCCTGGTCTGGCACTCAGCTATTGTTCCCAGCTACTCTGGGGCTGGGCCCGGAGCCTTGCACATAAAGGAATCCCATATGGGGGCTGGTTCATGTCCCAGCTGCTCCATTTCCCATCCAGTTCCATGCTTGTAGCCTGGGAAAGCAGTAGAGTACGGCCCAAAGCCACAGGACCCTGTACCAGAATAGGAGACCCAGAAGATGCTCCTGGCTGCTAGCTTTGGACTGGCTTAGCTCCAATGGCTGCAGTCACTTGGGAAGTGAGCCAGCAGATGGAAGATCTTTCTCTGCATCTCCTTCTCTTTGTATATCTGCCTTTCAAACAAAAAAAATAAAATAAATCTTTAAAAAAAAAACCTCTGGGGCCCGGCGGAGTGGCCAAGCGGCTAAAGTCCTCACCTTGAATGCGCCGGGATCCCATAAGGGCACCGGTTCTAACCCCAGCAGCTCCACTTCCCATCCACCTTCCTGATTGTGGCCTGGGAAAGCAGTCAAGGATGGCCCAATGTTTTGGGACCCTGCACCTGCGCGGGAGACCCGGAAAGAAGTTCCTGGATCCTGGCTTCGGACCGGCATAGCATCGACCGTTGTGGTCACTTGGGGAGTGAATCATCGGAAAGAAGATCTTCCTCTCTGTCTCTCCTCCTCTCTGTATATCTGACTTTCCAATAAATAAATAAATCTTTAAAAAAAAAAAAAAAAAAAAAAAAAACCTCTGAAGCTGGTGGCCAATATCATGGCATAGCAAAAAGCTTCACCTGCAGCACCAGCATCTCATATGGGCACTGATTCAAGTCCCAGCTGCTCCACTTCTGATCTAGCAGCAAAAGATGACCCAAGGGCCTGGGCCCCTGCATCCACGTGAGAAACCTGGAGGAAGCGTTTCACCATCCCTGCTCCAGCTGCTGTGGCCATTGTCAGCAGTGAGCCAACAGATGGGAGAGCTCTCTGTCCTTCTCTTCCGTGTAATTCTACCTTTCAAATAAAGATAACACAATCTTAAAAAAAAAAAAAAAAGAAAACCCCTAAGTTTGGGGATGGCATTGTGGTGTAGCAAGTTAAGCTCCCGCCTCAGACATCAGCATCCTGTAAATGTTTCGAGTCCAAGCTGCTCCACTTCTGGTCTAGTTTCCTCCTAATGTCTAGGAAAGCAACAGTCCTCGGGCCTGCAGCCGTTTGCGAGCCCTGGAGGAGTCGCATGCTCCTGGCCTCGGCCTGGCCCAGGGCTGGCTGCTGCAGTCATGTGGGGAGCGAACCAGCACATGGAAGGTATGTGTCTCTCCTCCTCTTGATATTCTTGCCTTGTAGTTCAATAGTGTGACATCTTTAAATCAAAAGGAGACTTTGGGATCTACAGAAACGCACTCAATCCACCACAACCTTCTGTGCCAACATGAGGACCTCAGCCGCCATGTTAGCTTACCAAAAAATCACAAAGTGCTCTGCAAATGAAGTGCTAAAGAAAAAGAAGAACGGGATAATTGTTTTCCAAAATGTTTTCAGAGTTCATTATCACCCACGCTCAGGCGCATGAATCCGTCTTTCACAACTCTTCATGCCCCACCACTCACATGATGATGTAAGAGACTCAACAGATGGAACTCTAGATTTTATCTTGCACTTTCAGAAACGGAGAAAAAAAGATTCACATTTGGTTCAAATCCCAAGGCAAACAAAACTCACTGTGAGAAGACAATCCAGCATAACACAACAGAATAAACATTCACAATACTACCATAGGTAGTAATCGACGTTGTTTAGGTACAGAGCTTAAAGTCACGCACAGCGTGTGACAGCCACCAGGGCATCGGTTATTTTATGAGCGGCAGCAGGTCCTCCTGTGCAGTCCTCTCGGGCACTGCGGCTGCACTGCAGGGAGACTGCCTGCTTTCTGGGCAGCACCTCCACGACAAAGACTGAACTTACTCAGCACGGAGTTTGTAATCCTTCTTTTTCTCTAGCAGGCCCAGATGTTTCCGAAAGCCGGGCTGGAAGACAAAAGAAGAAAAACAGTACTGAGTTTCTCCAGCAAACATAAACTCAAACCAACACCCACCTGCTAAGCTCAGGAGCCGCCCCCGTGCCCTGGCAGCCAACCCCGTCCCCGGCGCCTTCCCCTCCCCGCAGCTGGGCTCTGCCCAGGGGCAGCCGGCTGGTGCGGGTGCCAGACAGGTCACAAACACTGCCGTAGTAGGTTTCTTGGCCTATTAAGGACAGAGAGAGGCCACAATGACTCGGCACTAAGCAACCAGCTGCCAGCTGTACTAAAATTACTACCAACTTAATCCGCCGGCTTATAAAATACTACGAAGGGAAAAGATAGTAACAGGGAGGCAACTGTGGTAAGGCAGCTAAATTTACAGTCTGGAGACTGGTTCAAATCCAACTCTACCTCTTCTCAATCTGTGACCTTGGACAAGTCACTCAGCGTCTCTGAGCTCCCCACAGCGGCACCCACGTCAGGAGGCTATCCTGGGATCCACTGCGCCTCTGTCAGTGCTGGCGCCTGCACACAGGGCACCTGGCAGGGGTCAGCGCTGTGTGGACCGTTCTGATGGTGCCTTTGGCCTAAGGTAGGAGAAAACCCAAGGCTGACACCAAGTACTTTCTCCTCTGACACACACTTGGAAAGCACAGAGGGTACCGAGATTAAATCTGGGTATCAGCTTTCTACAAGCTACCACTTGTTGAAGCACTCAGAATGCGTCAGGGTCTGGCTCGGCACGCTTGCCTATGCCATCCCTGCAGCCAGACTTCGGCAGCACAGCCCTGGTTCCCAGGCAGGCGACGTGCTCTTCTTGTCCCACAAGCTCACCGCGTCCCCACAACAATCCAGCAGGCTCTCCCGCGACCCCAATCTTGCAGAAAACAGAAACAGTTTATAGAGGTCGGCCGAGGAACACGGAACCAGCAAACCAGCCCGCACTGCTGTGCTCTTCCACACGGCACCAGAATAATCTCGACTTCAGAGGAAGTATACACACTCCTCAACTGCTTAACTCCTGTCACAGTTGGTGCAGGATTTTCACTTTTGTTCTCACACATCAACATTCAGCACCTCTTGTAGTAATTTTCAGAGACAGCAAGGAGAGGTTAATACAGCGGTTAAACTCCAGAGTCAGAGGAGCAACAGAAGGCAGACGTGTGATAGCGGCCATGTCCACGCAGACGCATGGACTCACGTTCAGGAGCTGACGTGGCACACAGCCCTCCATCATCAGCACCCAGAGCTCCCGGCTGTCTCGCTCCTGTCAGTCTGTGCACTCACCTGCCTTCACCTCACTTCCCTAGCTCTCCACAGCCAGCTCTGACAGCCCTCTCTTCTCTGGTAATCCACCTGAACTATTTACGACTGTGTCTCTGGAGGTGCTGCTCAATCTCTTCAGGGATGAATCTCTTTGTACAAGGATATCATCCATTTGGAGGGATTTTTTTTAAAGTCGGAGTCAGAGACAGAAGGATCTTCCACCGCTAGATCACTCCTCTCACAGCCCCCACGGCAGGAGCTGGGTAAGGCCCAGTTCAACAACAAGGATCCAACTGGGTGTCCCATGTGGACGGAGGAGCCCAAGTACGTGGGGCATTCTTCCCCTGCCCTCCCAGGTGCACCAGCTGGCACGGGAATCAGAAACAGAGCAGCCCGGTCTCAAACTGCAGGGGCTGAATCCACTGTGGTACAACGCTGGCCCCAAAATAAAGCAGAAGAGGGCGAGAACACTGAGGTGCCACAGCTAAATCACCACCTGTGACACCAACTTCCCATATGCGCTACCCGTTCGAATACTAGCCGCTCCACTTCCAATCCAGCACCCTGCTAATGCACCTGGAAAAGCAGCAAAAGATGGCCCAAGCGCCTGGGTCCCTGCACCCATGTGGCAGACCCAGAAGAGGCTCTAGCTCCTGGTGACAGTCTAGCGTGCCCCTGGCCACAGCAGCTATTTGGACAGCAAACCAGTAAATGGAAGATCCAGCTTTCTGCTTTTCCCTCTCTTTGTAGCCTTACCTTTCAGAGAAAGATAGACAGATAGATACACACATACCTGCGTAGGCAGACAGGTAGGCAGAGCGAGCAGGTGAAGCTGTGTCTAGCATATTCTAAGGATTCAAAAATAAATTACTGGGCCCAGCACAATGGCGCAATGGCTAAATCCTCACCTTAGTAACTCTGCCTTTCAATAAATAAGTCTTTTTAAAAAAAGAAAATAATCTATTTATTGGAAAGGCAGATTTACAGAAAAAAGGGACATATACATAAAGATCTTCCATCCACTGGTTCACTCCAAAATGACAACAAGTTGGAACTGAGCTCATCTGAAGCCAGAGCCAGGAGCTCCCTCTGGGTCCCCCATGTGGGTACAGGTACCCAAGCTTTGGGGGCTCATACACATCCCCAGGCTATAAACAGGGAGTTAGAAGGGAAGTGCAGTACCCAGAATACGAACCAGTGCCCATTAGAGATCCCAACACTTGCAAGGGGAGGATTTAACGAACCCATCATGCGGGGCTCAAATATTTAAAAAAAAAAAATTATGTTGGTGGGCCCAGCACAATAGCTTAGCAACTAAAGTCCTCTCCTTGCATGTACCAGGATGCCATATGGGTGCTGGTTCATATTCCAGCTGCTCCACTTCCCTTCCAGCTCCCGGCTATGTGACCTGGGAAAGCAGTCAAGGACGGCCCAAAGCCTTGGGACCCTGCACCCGCATGGGAGACGTGAAACAAGCTCCTGATTCCTGGCTTCAAACTGGTTCAGCTCCAGCCACTGCAGCCACCTGAGCAGTCAATCAGCGGATTCTCTCGGTGTCTCCTCCCTGTAAATCTGACTTTCCAATAAAAATAAATAAATGTTACAGAAAAGATTTATTTATTATTTTTATTGCAAAGTCAGATACACAGAGAGGAGGAGAGACAGAGAGGAAGATCTTTTGTCCACTCATTCACTCCCCAAGTGAGCGCAACGGCCGGTACTATGCCAATCTGGAGCCAGGAGCCAGGAGCCAGGAACTTCCTCCAGGTCTCCCACATGAGGGCAGGGACCCAAGGCTTTGGGCTGTCCTCGACTGTTTTTCCAGGTCACAAGCAGGGAGCTGGATGGGAAGTGGAGCTGCTAGGATTAGAACCGGCACCCATATGGAATCCCGGAGCGTTCAAGGCGAGGATTTTAGCCACTAGGCCACCACGCCTAGGCCCTGTACCTGCATTTCAAATAAATAAACATTTTCAAAAACAAATGAAACTGCGTTTTTGGACCCAGCATGCCAGGTTTACCTATGTACACCAGTTCTAATCCTGGCTGCTCCACTTCCCATCCAGCTCCCTACTTGTGGCCTGGGAAAGCAGTGGAAGATGGTCCAAAGCCTTGGGACCCTGCACCCGCGCGGGAGATCTGGAAGAGGCTCCTGGCTCCTGGCATTGGACTGGCTCCGCTCCAGCCGCTCCAACTATTTGGACAATGAACCAGCAGACAGAAGACCTCTTGTCTCTCTTCCCTGTAAGTTTGACTTTCCAATAAAAAATAAATACTTTTAAAATAATTGTCTCCTTATTCGTCTTTCAGTATCCTCTAATTTCAAGACACTGGGTGTGAATGCCAGTGGCATCAGCTGCCTGACCTGCACAGTGCTCAAGCTCTGGAGCTGTCTCTCCTCATGTACCAGTGGAGCCAACAACCGTGCCCCAAGCAAGCACTGAGCCCCTGGGCCCCAGCACACAGCAGACACTCACTGGCAGCAAGGCTGGACTTCACAAAACTGCACTGTTGTCACCACACCACTGGGCAAACAGCAAACAATGTCTAAGACATTCATGCTATAATGCTATCAGGCGGGAGAAATGTTCTCTCTCTACGCAGTCTTCGCTCAACCCCAGACAACGACTCGGCTTCAAATCCGCCCTCCGCCTTCTTTCCCCATCTGTATTGTGCAACATCTTTCTTCCACATCACTTGAGAAGCGTCAAGTGGATAAAATGATTCTCCAGGAAAGTTTATTTCTATCCAGCCTCCAGAAAAACGTCCATCCGCGGAACTCCTAAAGTTGTGTGTTCACACACGCTACCTGAGGGTAGTGTTCGTGAGCAATCAAGTTACTCTCTGGTCCTCAGTTTCCTCATCTGTATAATGGGAGTGGAAAAACACCAACATCACAGGGTGTCCCATAAACCCAAGCGCTGGTGGCAGGTCAAGCTCCACGCTGATGACGGCATCTTGCGGCCAGGGACCCACAGGGTGCAGTCACGTGGGCCGTCGGACACGCCAGGCACCGCCCCAGCCACGCCCCCAGCCCGCGAGGCCACGCCCCGAGGTTAGCAGGTATTTGCGTTCATTTACATACAGCGTCCACGACCCGCCGGGACTAGGACCGGCAACCCACGGGATCCCGAGCCAGGGCTCGTGGGGCCTTCGCGGCCCTACCTGGCTTCGCTCTCGGTGTTCCCGCTGCCGAGACTTCGCTGCCTTCCGAAAAGCCGCCGCCATGTCTGCTCGCCCTGGGAAAACCTTAGCGGACAACGCAGTGGCCGCACCGCTTGCGTCGCGCGTCCGCCGATCCTTCCGGAAACAGGCCCGGCCTCCGACTGCTTAGAACCGCCCACCTCGTTGAGGCAGCCTATCCAGACTTGGCCTTTCCGGAAATGCGCTCTGCGGCGTCATCCCCGCCGCAGGCTGCCTCTGGGAAGTGTAGTGCCTAGGTCCAGCCTCGGGGCGCTGCGGGAGTCAGTTCTGATTGGCCAGAGCTTGGCCACGCGTTCCCGAGCTCGCGCCTTCGCGCCGCGCGTTGGCACCTGGGAACACGTGGCTGGCTCTGCCAGGCTGCCGAGCCACGCATGTGCGCATGTGCAATCCCCGACGCCCGGCCCCCAGGGCGGTGTTTATGCGGTACATTCAAAGCTGGAATCCGTGTGGTTTGCAGTTTACCGGAAACAGCAGGCGTCCTGTAGACGTTAAGCCACCCGTGTGCATCCTGGCAGCTCCCTTGCCTGTGCAGTAGCCTGGCTTTTGTCACCTAACTGAGCTGTCCGGTACACCAAGCTCAGTTGGGGTGAAGGGGAGAGTGTAGGTCGTGACTATAAGCAGCCACGAAGCGAATAACACAACGGCAATAAATTTAAAAAAGAAAAAGTCTGAGTTCTTCACACCCCTCAGGAAGGCTGGTGGCCAAGGCAGGGTCAAAGTCAATTCCGGATAATCCTTAGGACAGAGTTCCCAACCTCACTCTCATCAGCCCGGACAAAGTTAGTTTCGCTGAGCTTCCCTCTCGTCCTGCGTAAAACAGCGGTAGTGATACCATACCCCCAAGCATGCTGTCAGGATCAAATGAAATATGCTTGAGTTGCTTAGTGCTGTGTCCACCCCTTAGTAAACACCATAAAATGGACCTTTTTGTTCAAAGATTTGTTTTTATTGGAAAGGCAGATATACAGAGAGAAGGAATTACAAAGAGAAAGGTCTTACATCTGTTGGTTTACTCCCCCAGGTGGCCACAAGGGCCAGAACTTAGTCTTAAGTCAGCAGCGTTTCTGGGTCTCACACAGTGGGTACAGGAGCCCAAGCACTTGGACCAGCCTCTGCTGCTTTCCCAGGCACATTAGCAAGCAGGTGGATCAGAAGTAGAGCAGCTGGGACTCGAACTGGTGCCGGTATGGGATGTTGGCACTGTGGGTAGCAGCTGAACTGACTGTGCCACAGCACTGGTCCCAACCAATTGTTGTTACTAGTGAACCTGTCTCCAAGTCTGCAAAGAGGACTGGACAAAGAGCCTTAAAGGGGGCATTTGTTTCCCAGGAAAGCACTTGAAATGGATCTTCAGTGGATTGTGTAATTGGACCCATTTCTGGGGACCAAGGACATCCCTCCAGGTGTGGCGCTCTGGGGCAAATCCTGTCCCCAGTGCCTGGAGCTGCCAGTGCAGTCAGAGCCAAAGGTAGCTGAAATCCAGATGAAAATCTTTTTCCTGCCTCTGAAGCTGAGACTTGGCTGACCATTACAAAGTCAGCTATAAAGAGAGGAGGAGAGACAGAGAGGAAGATCTTTCGTCCATTCATTTACTCCCCAAGTGAGCACAACTGCCGGTGCTGTCCGATCCAGAGCCAGGAGCCAGGAACTTCTTCCAGGTCTCCCGCGTGGGTGCAGGGTCCCAAGGCTTTGGGCTGTCCTCGACTGCTTTCCTAGGCCACAAGCAGGGAGCTGGATGGGAAGTGGAGCTGCTGGGATTAGAACCGGTGCCCTTATGGGATCCCGGCATGTTCAAGGCGAGGACCTTAGCCATTGTGCTATTGCACCAGGCCCCATCTCATTTGTTTCTTCCCACTGGTTGATGGGGCCCTTCATGACCTGGCCCAGGCCCACTTTTCCAAACTCATCTTAATTAAGAAGCTCTGTTGTTAGATAGAATGAACAGGTGGCAACCCTGACACTCCTGACACTCCCCAGAAGATCACACTGAGTGGCCACAGAAGCCAGCTCTGCGTGGGGTAAGAGGGACCCTGAGGCCAGTCCTGCCCCCATTTGAACAGCAGATCTTCCCCCTACTGGCTAAGAGGCCCTGTTGTCTGCACCTCTGAGCCCTGAGTCTTTCTCCATAAAAAGCAATAACAGTAACCCCCGACGGCTTCTGTGACAGCTCAGAGTCCCTAGGAGTCGTCCCATGGGACATTGCGCCCAGCATGGTCAGCATTCAAACATGTGACCGTTTCCCCTCCCCTCCCCTCCCCTCATGCCATACTCTGTGTCACCCATTCACCCTGCAGTCTATGGGCACACTTGGGGTCACAAGGGAAATGTCTGGGCAATCTAAAAGCTAGTGGCTGCTGAGCCCCGAGGTCTGCGGGGGCGGGGGAGCCGTGGGCAGTGGTAGGAGTGAGCAACACATCAGAGAAGGAAGGAGGAAAGAGGACTTGTGGTTACAGGCGTCAGAGAGTGATTCACCAAGCAGAGGAGCCCAGGAGAGGCCGGCGAGGTTTCATCCGGGTCTTCTCCGGAAAGCACTTCCAGGGGAGAGCTGGGAGATCCTGATCATGACTGTAAGAGCCCCCCAGGATGGGGCGGGCAAGGAAGTGCAAGGAAGGACAACAACCCTGCTCCTCCAAGTCCCATCAGTCAGCGGCTATCCTCTGCTTCCAGCCCTGGCTCCCACACACCTGTTCCCCAGGGCCAGGGAGAGAACAGATAAGGAACAGGAACAGGGAGTGTTGTGGCCGACCTGTAAGCTCCCCAGGGCACATCCTTTAGAGCCAACAGACCAGGCTTTGTCCCAGCCAGAGCTCTTACTCTGGCTTCCAAGCTCTTAGTCCAAGCAGCAGCAGCAGCAGCAGCAGCAGCAGCCCAGCACCTGCCCCTGGAGGAGGTTGGGGTCAGGAGGGAATCCTGGCATTTCTCCCAACAGTGCTCTGAGATGGCACACAGGAGGCCAAGGTCCAGCAGCTTTGGCACTGACAGTGGATGTGAATCCTGGCTTTGCCAATATTAGCTGTGTTACCCTTGGCAGTTATTTCATTGTTCTGTATCTCCAGTGGAGATAATATATATATATGTATATATATATATGTTACTGGATGACAAAGTGCATCCATCTATGTAGCATCCAAGAACTGGGCCAAGGTAAAAACTCGGGAGGTCCTGGCTATCATGTTGGCTATTCAGCAGAGATTTAAACCAGGAGGAAAGGACAGAACATCTGTAGAACTCATCCACAGCTCCTCACCTTTGGCCCACCCCCACCCCATGATAGAACCCCCTCCTCACTTACTCTCAGCTCCCCAACAGCAGTCCACCCTGTATTCTCCCGAGCTGGAAGGATTCCTTGCAAGTCTAATCCCAAAGGGCTCATCTGCAAGTTGGCTGTTCTTTGTCTGGACTCCAGCAAACAGGTGCCTGGAGTTCAAAATGGATGGGGAGGGAAGAGGGTTCCAATGGAAACACAGTGTCTGTCATTCATCAGATATTTATTACGTGAGAGACACTGGAGTAGGTTGGTTTGGAGAATGCAACGGTGCACAAAAAGGACCCAGTCCTTGCCCTTACGAGAACAGATCAACAAGTAGTCATATCATTTTTGAAGGGGGAATCTGGCCTGCAGGCCAGTGGGGGAACCAGAAGCCCAGGCCTATGGTACAGAAAAGGAAGGGGAGGGTCCCTGGAACACCCCCCCCCACACACACACACACACACACTCCACAAGGGCTTATCTCTGCTTTGGAGCGTGGCTGGACCTGGTCTGCAGTGTGGGGAGCTTCCTGGGGACACCTGCATCACTACCCTGCATGTTAAGGTTATTGGCAGGCTTGGTTTGTTGTCTCTTGTTTTGCAAACAACACAGCAGAGCTGCTCCCCTCCCGCCCCTCCCTTCCAAGCTGAGTCTATTTATTCCTAGCGACAAGCCTCGAGGATCCCAAGGGGGTTGGCCTCGAGGACCTGGAGGGGCCTGGTGTCCCTGGCAGGCGCCAGCCCTCCCTCCCAGGCCCAGGGTCAGTAGTTGCAACGGCACCCGCCCCTCTCCTCCACCGTGCGCACACGTCTCCCGGAGAAGCCTTAAGAGCAGGGGGGCCAAGGATTAGGGTCTCCCCTCTGTCTCCAGGGTCAACACTATTCCTGGGCACCGTGGAGTGGCCTGACTCTGGGTGCCAGGGTGCAGCTGGAGGGGAGGCGATGGGGACCTCTGCTTCTGCTCTTGAAGGTCAAGGCCGTTTGTGAGGGGCGGGGACGTCTCTCTCCACCTCTAGTTTCCAAAGAACACCTTGGTCCTCACCGAAAGAGCCATGACAACCGAGTCGAAAACACTCCCTCCTCCAGATGGGATTAAGGGCTCCCTCACACACTGGGCTGAGCTGAGCTCAGCGCGGGGTTAGGTGAGGAGGGCCTGGAGCTGCCGGCGTCCTGTACCTACCCCTTGTTGGAACCACCCGCGAACGGCTGGGGGTTGGAGGCGTGGGGAGGGGGCGTCAGGGAGAAGACTGAGCGCTGCGGGAAGGGCCCGGGAGTCGTCGGGACAGCCAGGTCGGGGGCCGCGGGAGGGGGGACCGGGCAGCTGGAGGCCGCCAAGGAGGTGGGGGCGGGGTCTGCCCCCCCCTCCGGGCTGGGTGCCGGCTGGGGGGCGGGGTCCGGGCGGGGCGGGCCCGCGCGCACTTCCTCGCCCGGGCTGGGGCCGCGCGCCCACTCGTCCGCACAGCCCGTGCGCAGCCGGCAGCTCGCGCCGCCCCGCTCGGCACGGGCCCGCAGGTAGGAAGGAGGCGCCGAGGGACGCGGCCCCTGCTGCCCGGCCCCACCCGCGTCCCGCTCCCGCCGCCAGCTGCGAGGTGAGCGCCCTGCCGCCAATCCCCGGCCCTGCTCTCATCCCCAGGGACCGGCGGGCGCCCCGGGCGGGCGCTCTTGGGGACGCAGCGTGCCCCCGGGGTTGCCCTGCTCCTCCGGCCGCCTGGCGGGGGGGGGGGCAGTTCGAGAGTCGGACGGGGAGGGGACCAAGTTTGAAATAGAAAATCCGGAGAGAAAGAGAGGGAGACCAGGAGGGTTGGAGAAACCAGGCTTCGGGGAAGCCCAATGGGGCGGAAAAACCGAGACCCAAGGACGCGAGCGGCGGGAGGCTGCTGTGGTCATTGAAACAGGGACCAGACGGGACATGTACCATTGCGAGGGGCCTGAAGCGTTAACGTCCTGCTCAATCCGTTTGTGTAGGAGGGCTGCAAGGACCACTCTCCCCATTCCATTCCCTGGGCATACAGAAATGTTACAGGGGAGGGGTGGGAGGCCAGGACCTTCAGCGCATTAGAGAACCTGAAGGCTGGCGTGTGCCCCCTGGGAGACAGAGACGTCTGATCACAAAGAGGGCCCCCAAACCGCGATCCAGTGGCGCGCAGCTGGACAGACGGGGCCCTCAGCCCAGGACAAGAACCTGAGAGGCCCACACAGGATGAATAGGAAGCTGAGGGGGGGCGCGGGGGGAGGTGAGGCGGGGGTTGGGGTGGACGTGAAACACGGGACGGGACAGACTCTGAGCCAAGCCTTTCCCTGTAAGGCAGGGGACCTGGGACAGTGAGATGTGAGATGGAAAGCAAGAGGAGCCCCACACACAGACACGGCTGCCAGGACAGCCCCCAGCTTATTTTTAAACTCACATCTTAGTCCAGCAGCTTCAGCCCTAGGGGACTCGGGGTGAATGAACTGTTCCCGGCAGTCCCAGAGCTGCAGAAAGATCCTGCCCCCGCCCCTACACTGCTTTCACTGAAGGGGAAGAGGACAGCAGACAGGCTTGGATTGGTAGCTTGGGGGCCCCCCTGAACGAGGTGGGGGGGTAACTTGATTTGTCCCCTCAAGTCTCCTGTCATCCCCTGGGGGGAGGGGAGGTCTGTTCTCATCTGTCAGACTGGCAGGTGTGGGACCTGGCCAGGGTCCTCCTGGGCAGGAGGGAGGGGAGGGGGGAGACAAAAGGACTGAGCAGTTGGCACAGGTCGTTGGAAAGGCTGCTGGGTGTCTTCCAGTGGCAGGGCTGGCTGCTGGGGAGCTGAGCCAGGCCCTGGGACGGCTCCTGTGCCTCTGTACTTGGAAGCTGCACCACCTCTTCCAGCACCAGCTCGGCATTTCTAGAGAGAGGTGGCGGTGCCCACAGACATTTGCTAGCTGAGTGACCCTGGATGTGCTCTGCCCCCTCCCTGGCCTCGTGTCTGGCTCTATGCTGTCAGCCTTTCAGGAGGTCAGATGGAAGGTGACAGGGGGTGGCAGAGCAGGCAGGTATATAGCTAGGTAGCTGTGCACCTGCTTGCGGGAGCTGTTACACTCCCTGGAGTTAGGCAGACTGGTGCCCCTCCTGGCCCCACTGCTGTCCTGACCCAGCCCAGTGGGCCTGGGACCTCTTGTCCTCTCCCTGGGCCTCTGCGAGTAGGTCCAGGTCACGTCGCCAGCTCCCTGCCACAGGCCTTCCTGAGAAACTGGCATCGTCATACTGCAGCCAGATACTGAGGACTGGTGACCCGCCAGGTACTCACTGAACCCCACCACTCTGGCAAGTAGAAGGAGTCTTAGGTCAGTTAGAGAGATGGAAAAAAAAAAAAAAATGGAAGGTGAGGGGAGTCTGGAAGTTTGAGTAACTGGCCCAGGGTCATCTTAACTAGTGAGGAGCCAGCATCCAAACTCAGGGTTGAATTTCACAGCTCACTGTTCTGCAGCCACTTGCCAAGTGGTTATCTTCTTAAGGTGGTGTGTGTGCGTGTGTGCGCGTGCCCGCGCGCCTCAGGTAGAGGAGGGTATATGGGAAAGGATGTGTTGTTAAGGACAGGAGCTGAGCGCCATCTGGCAGATGAAGCGGTCTCCCCAGTCCCTGCCCCCCTCACCAGGGAGAATACAGGAACTGGTTCCCTCCAGTCCCTTGGGTCCCCCAGTCTTGCCAGGAAAGGGGGTTGGGGTGGGCTAAGAAGGACAGGCAGAGACAGGTGGGCCTGCTGATGCCCTTCTCTCTGTCCTCCCTCCCCAGGGCTCAGTTGGAAGGAATGAAGGATTGGGGGATTCTGGGAAGGAAACAAGCCACTCCCATACCTTATTTGGGGTGCCCCCGGCTCAGAGGGGTGAGTGCCTCCCAGGGGTCAGCCCCAGGGCTAGCCAGGGCCTGGGAAGGAGGTTCCTGCTACTGCTGCTGCTGCTAGATAAACCAGGAAGGAAGGAAGGAAAAGAGCCAGGGGGGCCCTCCCATAGGGACACACTGCCACCTTCCACCTGCGCGGCCGCCTGTTGCTCCCTGTGACTGACAGCCCAGGCAGTCCTCAGATGTTGGGCCAGAGGAAGCCCAGGCCTGAGTGATCCTGCGAGCGGGAACGGGAGGAGGGCTACCCCCCACCTTAGGGCATTACTCCAGTCCCAAGAGGCCCCCTCCCCGCTCTGAATTCCCCAGCTCCTATGAACCTCGCGTCCTCGGCATGGGGTTTGAACCAAGTGTACTCCCGTGGTGTGGAAGGCAAGCCTGGGACCCAGGAGCCCACTGGGCAGGAGAGTAGGACCCTTTGGCCTTGGGGGCGGCTGCCGGCGCCTGGAGTCTGCACTTCAAGCCAGAGCAATGTTTTCTGGCCAGAAGTTCCCTGCTGGGGCTGGCTGAGAGAAGAGGGCTTTTCCTTCAGCTGGAGCCAGGGCAGGCCGTGGGCTCTGCCAATCACGGGATTCCGATGGAGGAGAGTGGGGCGCTGGGTTCCTTTGTGTCTCTCCAACTCGCCCAGGTTCCTCTGCAGCTGTGAGAGCATCTGTCCCTTCCTGTGGACTTTGGTGGTGTCTCTCCAACACCCTGGGACCCCATCCCTGAGAGAGCAGACTTGCTAGTAGAGGCAGCCAGGAGTGGGGAGCTCGGACCTGGGGGCTGAAGCCGCCAGAAGGGGCTGGGAACCCCACTTCCCTACCCTCTGCTCCCCACACTCTTGTTCCAGAGGCAGCTGTGTGGATGACCTCATCCCACAAACATGCTTTGTTCCTGAGAAAATGGAAAGTGTCTGAGGTTTGCTGGGGGGCTGGGTGTCTGCAGCAGCAACGCCAGGGTTCCCCCTATCCTCTTCCTTCCCATCTCAGAGGGGCCCTGACCAGGGACAGGATGGCTCGGGTACCACCTCCCCCTTCACGTCCACCACCCCAACCCTGATGAGTGAGAAAAGATGGCGGGGGAGGCTCTCCGGGTGTGTGCCAAGGTCAGGAGGAGAGAAATCACCCCCCAGAAAAAAAAGAAGCTCCTGGAGATGGAGGGGCGATGCTGGTGGCTGGCAGCAGGCAGTAGGGGCCATGCTGCTGTCTGTCCGGGTGCCCCTTGACCATCCTGGGCGTCGTGTTTTCCTTCTCTGTCCCCTGTGGCTGGCAGCATGGGACATCTGACCATGGATACCATCACAGCTGCTGCAGATGCCGCAGCCACGGCTGCCCAGGCTGGTGTGACCTGAGACACAGCGGGGTGGAGGAGGATGAGGCAGAGGGCCCAGCTGGGGAAGCATGGCTGGATCCAGCTTACAGGATTTCCTTCCTGCTGAAACCCATCCGGAGCCTCTCAAGTTCTCGATGCTTGGCTGATTTCTCTTGGGAGGGAAGGTTCAACTTCTCGTAGCGGCCTCCTCCACCATTCATCCGTCCTGTGGCCCTCTAGAATTCCACCGTTTCCTGGCTCCGACAGGGGAGGGTCAGCCCATTCTTGTCCCTGTGCTTTCCACGTTATCCATCCTCTCTCCCAATCCCTCGGGCCTTTCCTGGGAGACCAGGGAGGGTGGAAATGCTGTTCTGGTGCGGGTGGGGTAGGGTGGCTCCCTGCCCTGGTCATTGCTCCTGCCGTCCTGGGGACAGTGGGGACCGTGGCAGCTAAACTCACTGTGGAACAGGAAATGAGTCACTGACCCAGGAAAAGCCCCCTCCCCCCAGATCTGCTACAGCCTAGATAAGAAAACAACTTCTGCTTCCTGGTTTTTGTTGTTTTTTTTTTTCCCCTGACCCCTTCCTATCCCAACTGTTAAATGCAGAAACAAACGTGCAAGCCCCTGGGTTTCCAGAAGCACCCCTGCCCCATCCCCAGGCCACACCTGCACCAAACACACCTGCCTTTTCTAGGCCTGGCCTCTGGCTTTCTGGTGAATGTAAAGAATGTTTGCCAGGGACTAAGCCATGGCCCCCTGGGGGACCTCTGGCCCTCTTGTGTGTCCCCCCACCCAGGGCTCACTCACACCATCACCATGAGTGAAGCATTCGACTGTGCCAAATGCAGCGAGTCCCTGTACGGTCGTAAGTACATCCAGACAGACAGCGGCCCCTACTGCGTGCCCTGCTATGACAACACCTTCGCCAACACCTGTGCCGAGTGCCAGCAACTTATCGGGCATGACTCAAGGGTAAGGACCAAAAGAGGAGGAGGTTGGTGGGAGAGAGCAGAGGGTGAATCCCTCCCCACCCCAGGGCCGCAGCGCCAGCATCCCTGCCTGCTCTGCCTGACACAGGAGCTGTTCTATGAAGATCGCCACTTCCACGAGGGTTGCTTCCGCTGCTGTCGCTGCCAGCGCTCGCTGGCCGACGAGCCCTTCACCTGCCAGGACAGCGAGCTGCTATGCAATGACTGCTACTGCAGCGCCTTCTCCTCACAGTGCTCCGCCTGCGGGGAGACCGTCATGCCTGGTGCGTCCCCCACAACTCCTCCTGTGTGAGAACCCGCATCTGGGGAGGGCCTTTACGCGTGCCAGCCACAGAGGCCAGGCGTGCCTAAAGATCCACACACGCCCCATGCTGTGGAAATTTAGTGTGTGCACGGTCGATAGTGCTTACCTGCCCCTGACACCTTACCATGCCCAGGGGTCAGCGTGCTGGGGCTAACACATGAGAGCTTGGCAGGAGTAGAATGAGCGTGAAACATTCCCAAGGCCCGTACTGCGTGGTCTTGTACACCCGTGGTGGCATGGGGTCTATGAAGACTTTGTAGTTGAGACCTGCAGGAGCTAAGGGTATGCTGAGATGGTCAGACTGGGTGGCCTGAGCCCTGGGGTGTGCAGAGGGTACAGTCTCTGTGGGAACTGCATGCCTCCATACATAGAGGTGTGAAGACTCTCTGCACACCATAGAGGTGTGAAGACTTAGCATGTATGGAGAAAGACATGGCCAGGAGAGAGGAGGACTCGGTGTGTGCCGAACCTGTTATGCCAAGGACGTGAGAACGTTGTGTGAGCAGACACTTGCTTGGGGGAGACTGTATAGGGTCTCCTGTGGATACTGAACCTGTCATGTCTGGAGATGACGTTGGACAAGCTGTCTTCACAGCTTCTGTATAGTCATTGGAATTCCCAGAGGGAGTGCTGACGTGTGCTGGGGCAATGGGAGGGCAGTGCTAAACAAACGTCCAAGCTCTCACATCCGGGTTAAAGGGCCTCATGTGTGCTGGGAGGCAGTGTCCAGCATCCAGGCTCCTGCCTTGTGTGCCGGAGGCCACTCTGCTGCAGCACTGGAAGCCATGGACATTCTGCTGGGGGGAGCACAGGGGTGGGCCTTATAAGCTTGGGAGAGCCTCTGAGTGGGACCCCTGTTCCCTGCACCGCCCCCCCCCCCATACACAGGGTCCCGGAAGCTGGAGTACGGGGGCCAGACGTGGCATGAGCACTGCTTCCTATGCAGCGGCTGTGAGCAACCACTGGGCTCCCGCTCCTTCGTGCCTGACAAGGGCGCTCACTACTGCGTGCCCTGCTACGAGAACAAGTTCGCTCCTCGCTGTGCCCGCTGCAGCAAGGTCAGGGCTGGGCCTGGGGGTGGGAGTAGGGGAATCGTGGGAGCATGGCTCAGCCTGCTGAGTGATGTTGTCTCCCCGCTCCAGACACTGACGCAGGGTGGGGTGACATACCGTGACCAGCCCTGGCATCGTGAGTGCCTGGTCTGCACCGGGTGCCAGACACCCCTGGCAGGGCAACAGTTCACCTCCCGGGAGGACGACCCCTACTGTGTAGCCTGTTTTGGAGAACTCTTTGCACCCAAGTGCAGCAGTTGCAAGCGCCCCATCACAGGTGGGACCCGGAGTGTGTGCAGGGTCAGAGTGGGGTGTGGTCAGAGGGCAGGCAGGGGAATGGGAGTAGGGCTGGCTGGGTGCGGCTGAGCAGTCCAGCACTGCAGAACTAACTCCCACCTCCTCGCAGGACTCGGTGGAGGCAAGTACGTATCCTTTGAAGAGCGACACTGGCACCACAGCTGCTTCTCCTGCGCCCGCTGCTCTACCTCCCTGGTGGGCCAGGGCTTTGTGCCGGATGGAGACCAAGTGTTGTGTCAAGGCTGCAGCCAGGCAGGGCCCTGAGCCGGAACTCCGGCTCAGGCTGTCCAGGACTTCGGCTTCTTTGCGATACCACCTCTGGGTCCCAGCCCTTCCCCCACACGGGGTTCCCCTGGGCCCCAACATTCAGTCTCCCACCCCCAGCACCCTCTAACTGGTACTTCTGACCCAGACTTGACCCTCTGTAGTGTGGACTCCAGGCCAAGCCCCCGCCCTGCCTCAGGGCTGCAGACCTCAGCCCTTCTAACCAGAATTCTGGAACCTAGGCCTACCTTGAATCTAGACTTGCCTCTCTCGATTTTACATGTTCTGCAGGGACCTGGGAAGTCCTCAGTTATAGACTGCGCCGACTCCTGTCCTTGTCCTCAGTGGTGGGGGGAGGAGAGCTTTCTGGGCAGCACGTGGCAAGGCTTGCCTGGTTAAGGGGCCTTAGGGTGCAGGTGCTGCCCAGGCTGTGTCTGCCTGGTGTCTTATCTGATTTCAGCTCCCTGGTGCCCAGAGATGAACAGAGGGGCGGGACTGGCTCGCCCCCCTCTTTTGGATTCTGCAATAAAGCAGTGTGAGGAAGTCAGGGTTCTGTGTCTTTATCCGTGCTGGAGGAGAAGCAGAGGCCCTTGGCAGGCCCACGGACGCTGTGCATCATCCAGAGGCACAGGGCCATGAGCTGGGCAGGCTCCCCTCCCACCCCCAGGAAGGGGATCCCTGCTTAAGCTAAGCTACTGTCCTGCACAAGCCTGGTCTGCCTCCCCACCTCCCTCGCGGGCCAAGAGGGGAAGGGTGGAGTTGGAGGAGGTTCCAGACAGAAGTGGAACTGGCGGTGGGCAGCCTGCCTCCCCACCCCAGTGCAAGGCGCCCTCTCTCCTAACAGCCTAGCCCAAGTCCCACAGAGCCAGCCCCCGATTCTGAGCCTTACATTGGGCCCAGACCCTTTACCTCCTTCCCCTTCTTCCCAAGGATTAGCGGGGGCGGCCCACGAGCTTCTCTCAGCCGCACGTTTTTTTGCCAAAAAAGGCAAGGATGCAGCTGCACGCGCCGCGGGAACATCTGGATCCGATTCCCAGCATGAATGGGTCACAGCCCCACCCACTATGATTCAAGGGCGGGGGCGGGCGCGCGAGCCACCGGGGTTGGCCCCCAAAGTGGGGAGATGGGGCGGGGCGCCGCTCCCCTCCCCTGCATCCGACACCCCCAGTCTCCGGCTCCACCCCCCCTCCCTGCCGTCGGGGCAGGTAGGCGCGCACACCGTGTTGCGCGCTCCCGCCGCGCAGCCTCCGGGTTGGAGCCGCCCCTGGGCGCCCTAGATGGGAGGGGCCCGCCGGCCCGGCGGAAACCGCGTGATGATATATGTATGGTATTGAATCCCCCCTGAAATCCTGGGCGCGGGTTCACTTCTGGATTTCGCAGAGATGGGCGCTCTGGTACAGTCAATAGCTTCAAGTCCGTGGGTAGTCCCTGCTCCTGAATCCGGCCTTCTCGTCCTCCAGGCCCGATGTAGTCCTCAACTCTTTAAAAGTTATGTGTTTTATTTGAGAAATACAGAGATCTTCCGTCTGGTTCATCCCCCAAAAACCAGCCATAGGGATTGCTGGGACAGGACCTGGGCTTCCCAGTTCACTCCCACATAGGGGACACAGATCCATCACCTGCTGTTTGCCAGGGTACACATTAGCCAGAACTGGAAGCAGATCTGGGACTTCAACACAGGGTGCCCGATTTAACTGCTCCCCCAAACGCCTACGCCAGGTCCTCGGCGTTCTGAGGCTGATGGTTGACCTTCGCAGCAAACCTTTGCACAATTCCCATCGTGTGTTTGCGTGCGCGCCTGCGTGTGCGCTGCCAAGGCTTCATTCTCCCTGCATTTCCTCTCTCTCCCACAGGCCCCTCTGAGGATTGAGCCTACCTTGAGCACTCCCTCTCAGCTCCTGGCACTTAGAATGTGCAAGTAGTCCAAGCACAGGAACCTGCTGGCGAGAAGGCCCACGGGGCTGACGGCTGATGCTGCTCTGGGAAAGCAGGAAGTTATTCCACTGGGAGGAAGTGCCACGAGAGTAAAAAGGCAGGCAGGGCTCAAACGTGTGTGTGTGTGTGTGTGTGTGTGTGTGTGTGTGTGTGTGTGTGTGTGTGTGTGTGTGTGTGATGGTCAGGGTAGCACACACCACTCAGGCAACAGCGTGACACACAGGCGGATGAGCAGCCCGTGCACGGATCCCCATGCGATATGGCCATGCAGGAAGCACCCTAGGTGAAACAGACGGGGCTTGGTGCCTGACGTGGGTGGGGATAGAGAGGTGGAGCGTCAACCCTGTGTTTCATTTCATTCAATAGAAACATTTTCCAGTTCTTCCTCTAAGAAACCCAGATGGGTAATCAAGGTGCCTCCTAATCTAACAACTTGCCTTGCTCAAGGAAACCCTAAAGTAGCGCTTTATTTCACACTTAATAATATCTCATATTCAGTGAAATACAGTTGCTCCAAACCATCAGGGCCCTAGGCTGAGTCCATCACTACACTGAATTTCTCTAACATCCTTCTCTTCAGTATCCGAGGAAAAGTCCCAAAGGGAGATATGGCTGCAGATCTCCCCAAAGAGTGCAAGTCTTGCTTAAACATCCACATGCAGGGCCTGGGATGATAGTGTAGTGGTTAAGGTCCTTGCCTTGAACGCGCCCGGATCCCATATGGGCAGCGGTTCTAATCCTGGCAGCTCCACTTCCCATCCAGCTCCCTGCCTGTGGCCTGGGAAAGCAGGCCTGAGGACAGCCCAAAGTCTTGGGACCCTGCACCCATGTGGGAAACCTGGAAAGAAGTTCCTGGCTCCTGGCTTTGGATCGGCGCAGCACCAGCCCTTGCCACCACATGGGGAGTGAATCATCGGATGGAAGATCTTCCTTTCTGTCTCTCCTCCTCTCTGTACATCTGCCTTTCCAATAAAAATAAATACATCTTGTTTTTAAAAATCCACATGTGAATAGGACCCTTAGCCCAGCACAATACGTAAACACTCACCTTGCACAAGCCAGGATCCCATATGGACGCCAGTTTAGTAACTGGCTGCCCCACTTCCCATCAACTGCTTGTGGCCTGGGAAAGTAGTAAAGGATGGTCCAAAGACTTGGGACCCTGTAACCATGTTGGGGACCCAGAAGAAGCTCTTGGCTCCTGGCTTTGGGTCAGCTCAGCTCTAGCCATTGCAGCTATTTGGGGAGTGAACCAGCAGATGGAAGATCTATCTCTCCCTCTCTCCATAAACTTGATTTCACTTTCCAATAAAAATAAACAAATGGAAAAAATAGGACCCTCATAATACCCTCATCAGTAGGCAATAAGCAGGTCATTATCCCCGTAATATTTTTCACACACATTTTTACTTCTTTTTATTATTATCATTTTATGATATAGTTCCATAGGCCGTGGGATTTCCCTTATCCCCTCCCCAGTTCCCTCCCCCCTCATTTAGTTCCCCTATATGATTACTAATGTATAGTTCTTCATACACAGTCATATGTCCATCATTGTGGGCATGGACAATGGCAGGGAGTCCAGAATCCTATTGTCAAGATATAGTAAGCAGTTTCATTGGGAGTCCATCTTTAGTCTGGAAGTAGAGATGCATACTGCATTGCATCGTCACATCTGGATATGATAGTCTCCATTTCACAGTTACTGTACATCCCATTAAATGAAAAGCCACAATAAAAAGTCACAACAGGAAGAAAACTAGAAATTTCCGATGCCATGAAGCTAAATAACATACTGCTAAATATGATCATCTCTATTACACAGCTACTATACATCCCCTTAAGTGAAAATCCACAATACAAAATTAACAACAGGAAGAAAAATAGAAATTTGCAACAACATGAAATTAAATACATGCTACTGAATGACTAATGTGTCACTGGAGAAATAAAAAAGAAAATCAAGACCCTTATTTAAGAAAAGGAAGCGACTGTATGGTCTATGAGTCACTGAAGAATTCAATCAGAAGAAAGTGTTTTGAAGAGATAAAACTAACAGAAAAAAAAAATCAAAATCCATGAGACGGTTTCCACTGATCTTTGTTGATGAAATGTGTCTCCTGTAGGAAACATAGATGGGTTTTGTTTCTAAATCCAGGCTACTAATCTATGATGTTGGATTGAGCTTAAGCCAATTACTTTCAGGGTTAATATGAATGGGTGGTAATTTGGTCCTGTCATTTTAGCAATGGGTTGTCCATTGATTTAGTCTTCTGTTGTTATTTTACTAGGAATGTTCTTCCCATTTGCCTTTGGTTTTGGTAGGTGCTATTCCTTTCCTCTGTCAAGAGAACATCTTTAAGTATCATTTGTAGGGCTGGTTTGGAAGAGGCAAATTCTTTTAACTTTTTTTTACTGTGGAAGAATTTTGTTTCATTGAGAAAGACAAAGGGAAGTTTTGCTAGGTACAATATCCTGGGCTGATGATTTTTTGCTTTTAGAATCTGGAATATATCGCTCCATTCTCTTCTGGCCTATAGAGTTTGCTGTGAGAGATCTCCTGTGAGTTTAATTGACATCCTTTTATATATCAGTTGATTTTTTTTCACATGCACATAATGATCTTTTCCTTATGTTTGACTGAAGAGAGCTTGATAATCATATGTTTTGGTGAAGATTGCGTTTGATCAGGCCTGTTGGGAGTTTTGTGCCCCTCCTGGATGCTGTTTCCCAATTCTTTCTCTAGATTAGGGAAATTTTCTCCTATTATTTAATTAAATACATTTGTAAACCTAGCTTCTCTTTCTGCACCTTCTGGGACTCCTATAACTCTTATGTTTGTCTTTTTAATAGTGTCTTTCAATTCTTGAATCCTTTTTTTATAGCCTGATCCAGCTCTGCTTCCAGCTTTTTGTTTGTTTCCCCTGGTGACAGAAAATATCTTCTAATTTTGAGATTCCTTCTTTTACTTCCTTCATTCTATTTTGGAGACTCTCCATTGTGCTTTTAATTTGCTCCACTGTGTTCTTCATTTCTGGTATGTCATCTTTCATTTGATTCATTTCCAGTGTGACACAATCCTTAAATTCCTTGAATGCCTGCTTTATGTGCTCCTTGTTGTTGATAAGAAGTTTTATAACAAGTGTTTTGAATTCTGTATCTCGCATTTTTTGATGCCTTCGTCAGTTAACTCTGAGGTTGGCATAGGGTTTTGCTCCTTTGCAGGGGAGTCTTCAGTAATATTCGTTGTGCCTTTGTCTCTTCTTTTGCTCTTGGTTATTGTACTTCTGGTTATCAGAATCTTCTCCTTGGGGCAGGTTTCTAAGCTGTGTCACCCAAAGGTCTACAGTTTAATTTTACTTATTGCAGTTGGTACTCAGCTCTTTGTTTGCAGTCACTTGTGCCATTCCCTCCAGCGAGTTCTAGGTCTGCATTCGTATGTTAGATTTCCACCAAGGTCTCCGTAGCCCCAGCTCCTGTCTCCACCTCCTCTGATACCATGCTGAGGCTGCACCGTTGTCTGTATAACCTTTCTCCTACTTCTGGTTGGAGCAGGTCCCAGGATTAGGGAGACACCAGGTATCTTATATAGCTAGGTTATTGGCACT